TGTGATCAATGCCTAAAATAAATGTTATGAATGAAGAAGTAGAAGGTTTATATTATGACTTGTCTTTTTTTTTTTTTTTTTTACATTTCACATTTGAATGCTTATGAACTTCCCTTCCTTTTGGTTCCTTTGTCTTTTTATGGCTTCTTTTTCCCCATATGGACACACCAAATACATTTTGGAGACCACTTAAAAAATGGCAACCAATGTATTACTGAAAAAGGTTAATTTTTGTTTTTTTAATTTTCTAAAATTACTTTCTTTTAAAGGACTTTCACAAGAATGTAAATGAAATCAGTACATGTCAAAATCTGAATTATTACGTGCATATTTCTGTGCTTTTTAACAGATTTTTACATAACAACAGAATAGCTCATTTGATTCCTGGAACATTTAGTCACTTAGAATCTATGAAGAGACTGTAAGTAAATTGAATTATTATGGAACTAAAGGAAGTTTAAATAGTGTAATTATACTGTATCTCGTATTGCAATATTTATTTTCCTTGAAAATTACTTTCATTGTGTAATTGTTTTAAATACTAAATAATATTTCCTAAGCTCTGCTTCAGTTGTTTATATACATAGATTGAGACCATTGCTTCATATTCTACTGTCTTTAGTGCCTGACTAAATCCTTATGTCTATTTGCTGTCTTGGAATTATTGGTAGTCATATGGTCTTGTTTTGTAAACCAAATAACACACACAGCTCCTTCTTTGGTTTGTTTTTGTTTGTTTGTTTGTTTGTTTTTTCCTACTCTTATATGTCTTACTGGGTGATCCTTCTCTGATCTCTTTCAGTAGTTGGTTATTTTGGTATTGTCTTGTAATTGTTTTACTTGTTCTTATCTGGTGATAAAAACATGGTGACAAAAAGATGCTTTGTAGTTTTAGAATGTAAGTATCACTTTCCAAAGCAACTCCAGAAGCCAGTTCTTCTTGAAATGCCGTTAACTTGGAAAATCAGAGGCTTCTTAATCCTTCAGCAGCGTTTGAAAACTTGAACTCAATAAGAATACCATAGTAAGGTGACTTTCAGAGGGTTTTCTGTCCCTCACTTTGAATTTCCAGTGATCTAGAATAAACGTTCTTTAAATTATCCAAGACTGCCGTTTTGAGAAAGGCAGTCATGCATTCCATACCCCCCTTTCCGGGAGGACTGCTGAGGATGTGCTTGCAGCGCGTCACCGTGCCAGCTCTACCAGGAAGAGAGATCACAAGGGACATAAAAGGAGGATGGTCCTCCTGGCTTAGGACAGCTGTGAAACCATACCTTTAACTGTGGACAGAAGGCAGAATAAAGTAAATTTTGATAATGTGTGCACCTTCCAGTAGTAGCTGCTTTACTAATAACTCCCTTAGATTCCTGTGGAGTTCATGCAAACAGAAAGGGATGCTTCTTCACATAATCCCTAGGTGAAGGGGGGTTTTGATAGTGGCTATTAGCGGAACAGGACACTGGGCTAAACTGACCAGTTGTCCTCTGACCTGGGACAGCTTATCCCTAAAGGCTGCATTATGACTTTTATGTTCCGGATTTAAATTCTACCAGTAACATCTGATATTCAGGGAGACATTTGTGCAATAACTTTTAAAACAGTTTTGCTTGTTCTTGCCTGTTTTTCATAGGAGAACAGGGAAGATAGAATATCTGGGCATTTCTACAAGAAGTTAAAAAAATATTAAGAGACAAAATGATCAAAAAGTTTACTACCCCAAAAGTTACACCAAACTGAGGTTGCTTTGCCACGCAACTTTAATTCCAATCTAGACATTTAGCTATATTTGATGGTACAGGTTTCTGTACTTAATGTTTGTTTTTTTTTTCCTATCCACCAAGAAATGCAGTACTCCACTTAATAACAGAGCCCTTCACTACTGGAAAGAAAGTCAACAGAATTTATGGGTTCTCATTATCTGAAATACACAGGTGTTTTACAAAGTTACTGAACCACTGAACTCAGCGAGAGCTTTATGCTTAAATAAAACTGTGGGTCTTTGTCTCAGTTGCCTGATCAGTGAAATGGGAAGTTGTAAAAATGTCAGGTTAGCTGTGAAGTTACTACAGTAATGCAGAAAAAAGTGTGGGGAGAATGGTATACATTCCTTATTTAAGCAAAGTTTGTATAACATATAAATAAAATCTGATTTATTTACTGAATGCTGGGGTTAAAAAAGAAAGGTTGTTTAGATGGTTGCTATGTTGAACACAGCCCAACCCGTGCAGTAAAATTATTATGTATTTTTGTAATAAAGACTACCAGAATGCATATAAGCAAGTAATCATCACCAGTATTCCACATTGCCCCTTGTCTGTATTCACAGATAAAGGCGCTGCTGGTATTGCAGAACTGTTTTGATCCTAACAAAATAGTTGGAGCTTGCTAACAGGTGCTGTGGCTGCTTCTTGTTTTGTGCAGACGTTTGGATTCGAACGCTCTTCACTGTGACTGTGAAATCCTGTGGCTGGCGGAGCTGTTGAAGACGTATGCGGAGTCGGGTAATGCTCAAGCAGCAGCTACCTGTGAGTATCCACGAAGGATCCAGGGAAGATCAGTGGCCACGATAACACCAGAAGAACTTAACTGTGGTGGGTTTGCCGCTTCCTGATGGCTTCTTTAATGTGTTAAATGTACCTAAACTGTTTTTTTTTTTCTGTTTTGTTATAATTTGTTGTTCTGTTCTCTTCGATAACACTGACTGCCTCTGGTCAATATTGGTTATTTCCAGAAATCTCCCTTATTCCTTCTCAGTTTTTGTCCCCTTCTGACAGAACTGATTGCTTTTACCCCTCAGCTTATCTTTGATGAAACAAGTATAACCATATTTGAACCTTCTCGAGGAACTAAATGTGATTATCCAGAAGAGTTGATTTTTCCTTTCTATATTTCAGTTTTGATGACAAAAGGATTCTCAGCTAGGGTCTTTGGTGTTATGTTAATGTTGTTTGGTGTCCTTTATTCCCTTCTGTGTGAGGGAAAGGGAAGAAAGAAACTGTACAGAATTGCTTCTGATTTCACAGACATTATTGTTAAAACTCTTGTTGATATTGGAATTGGGGTCAGGACACTGGATCTCTTTTTTACTCAGCTATACTTACACGGAGTGCCCTGCAAAGGCACTGCAATCCTCTGTCACTGAAGGATTAACGGATAAGCACTTGTATTATAATCCTTGTTGTTCATCTTTATTCCGTCAGCCTAGGGTTGCAAAGGCTCGACCCTGTGGGCACCCTGGGTCTCGGCTCTGCACCTCTTTGTTCCAAAATCAAAATGCAGATTTCTCACCAAGCTATGGGCATTTGCCTGCCCAGCCATGTGATGATGTGAAGTTATAAAATAAGTAAATTGTTCTTTTAGTTCTGCATTGGATATAATTCTGATTGTGAGAATTATGACCATAAGTGTCTACAAGGTTCTTGATAGTAAAAAGGGGATTTGGTGCAAGAGTAATTCACATGGCATCCTGCCAGCTCTCTGCACATCTAAGGAGCCTGAATATGTAAATTGCAGGAAGCAAGCTGAACAAATTATTCTGTAGGAGGCAGGCTAGGCACTGATACTTATCTAGAGGAAGTTATTTTAAATGGCACTTGTGCTTGCTGCTTTGAAGTTTTTCCTTCATAAGCAAATTGAGCCTCTGTTCAAATAAATAAAACAGCTACTTTAGAACCTGATACAAATTTGCACAATCCGTTTCCAGTCTGCTAAAATGTCCTGAGGAACAATGGAGGAGGCCAGAAAGCCCACAGTCACTTTTGCATAGTGAAGAGTGCATTTAATCCTGATTAAGTATATAAATATTTTAAGTTAAAATATTTGTGAAAAATATTTTTCTACAATGTGTATGGAAAATTTTGTATTTACTGTTATTTAGTAGTTTTAAAACAAGTAAGAGTTCCTTATATGTTTTATTGTTGATATAGAGAGGCCAAGAATTACATCAGAGCCTCAGGATGTGGATGTTACCTCAGGGAATACAGTGTACTTCACTTGCAGAGCTGAAGGCAATCCCAAACCAGAAATTATCTGGCTTCGAAACAAGTAAGTTTAAAAGAGTAAGAGAGAAACTTGATGCAAGAATGCTTGTCTGGGTGTGTGTACATTTCTGGGTGCATGTCCCCACACCTTACTATGTGGAATAGTTACAGCAGAAACATAGTTAAAAGAAGTATGTGAAGCAATAATGGCCCGGATCTGTTTTATTAGTAATTCTAAACACTTAATAGCTGATAACTTTAGAAAATGCTAATTTATTACTATAATACTATTGGTAAGACTTTCAACTGCAGTTGTACCTGCAAAGTTGCTCACCCCTGTAAAACTGTAAATCATTGTATGTAAGTACCAGGCAATATGGATGTGCTGCACGTGCAGTCTGTGGGTTTAGCTAGCGTTTGCATGCCCTGTGCAGGTCTGTTTGCATTACATTTTGAGGAAGAGCAAAGACTACTTTTTTAAAGGACTCCAGCTTGATAAGTTAGGTTGCAAAGGAGATCTTCCTTGAGCCCCAGCTCCCTGGAGGCAGCTTTCTTCCAAGGTATACCTCCATACCAGAAGAGGGGAGGTATATCAATTTCCAGGCTCCCCAGACCCAGTATATGGAGGGCAGGCAAGTGCTTATATCACAGGACTGTAGGGTAATTCAGTTTGGAGGGGATCTCGGAAGGTGTCCCGTGCAGCCTTCTGCTCAAAGCAGGATCATACCAGGTTGCTTTATCCAGTTGGGTCTTAAAAGTCTCCAGAGATGGAGGTTGCACAAGCTCTCTGGACAACTTTCCCCATTGCTTCTCCTCTCTGCTTAGCAGATGGGAGAGAAGGGCCTATAAATGACGTGTGTCTTTCAGCAGCCCAAGGGCCAACCTGCTGCAGAGTGGCTGCTAGAGCTTTGCCCAGAGCCTGGCTCCCTCCAGCAGTGCTGGGCAGGGTGCGGCTGAACCAGCCACCCAGCAACCTGTTGCCCCACTTAAACTGAGGTTAATTTACGATGGAGACATGAATTGTGAGTTTACCACTATTTTATTCAGATTTTGGATTAGTAATGCTCTTATACATAACGGAAAACCTGACCTGGAAAATAAATTTCCTCACAATTTATATTAGCAAATGAACCATTTTAGTTTGTTACTTGTTGATAAAATGGAACAATGTAGAGTCCTGCAGCTCTGTGCTGTAGCTTTGTGCTGATGTCAGGGAGAACCCCACATGCAGCAAGGGTACAGTGGTTATGGAGTATGTCAAGAACTGAGCCTTGAACTTGGATGGCATAATTATTTCATTAAAATTGTCTTTGGCTCATGTACTTTTTATAATAAACAAAGAAAACATGTATTCAGAATACACATATGAAAGAGTTTTAAGAAGAAATTTGAGCTTGGGGTGTGGGATTATTGACTCTGGCATGTTTCCTGGCTGCATGAATGAGAGCAAAGTGCTTTGCAAGGTAGTTGAATATGGCAAGATTTCAATCAAAAGCCATTGACCTGTTGAGCAGTATGTTGAAAACATCAGCAGTCAGGCTGTATTTTGTACATAGGGGATGCGATCTCCTCCTCTGTGCTTTCTTCATCATTTGTTGAGGGATGGAGTGAGAAACCGTTCCTTTGATAAAAACCCCTGACAGTTCTTGGTTAATATCATAGAAATGTATCCATGACGTAGCCTGAAGACCTGATCTTAACTTACGTTTCAAGTCAGTGCAAATTACAATCAGGTTCATTAGTGCTCCTTGAGCAGTCCAGACAGAGATTGGCACAAAGATGGTTTTATAGCAACTGACCCCTCTCCTAGTTGGAAGTATCTTGAGTGTTGAGCTTGCACGATATAACTCCAGCGGAAACATTTTAAATTGATTTGCCAGTTAGAACAGCCTTAAAAGAAAATGAGACCAGTTATGTGTATTTTGTTCACTTTTTTCCTTGTAAGCTTTCACTCATGAAAGTGTTTTGTCTTTTAATTTTGAAGATGTACTACTTGCATAAGCAAAACTGGTTCGATTTTTGGTTTTCCTCTTCTTCTCTTTAGGAGAAAACTAAAGGATCTCATATTTTACGTAACACAGAGAACGTTTGTTTTTTTTTTCCCGAAGTTGTTTTGGTTAATATATTTTGAGTTTTATTGTTTGGTAGTTTTCTGTGCTGGTGATTTAAAGGTTTAACTCCAGCAGATTCTTTTCTTCACAGTAATGAGCTCAGTATGAAAGAAGATTCCCGTCTAAACTTGCTAGATGATGGCACATTAATGATTCAGAATACTCAAGAAACAGACCAAGGCATTTACCAGTGCATGGCAAAAAATGTGGCTGGAGAAGTGAAAACTCAGGAAGTTACTCTTAGATACTTTGAGTCACCAGGTAAAGAATGTAAAGTCTGAATTTTGCATTCAGATAGAGAATCGTTTTGATAATAAGATCACTAAAAATAAGATGTTCTGGCTCTTGTATCTTCTTGACATGTAGATTTCTTGTGCTTAGGCCTGTTAAGAACTAGATCATGAAGTTATAATATCCTTAGAACAAAAATGCAAATCAGCCAGTTGATTAATGTCTTTATTATAGTATGTAATTCTGATTATAGTCATGTAGGCTGTTTGTACAAGGATTAGGAAGAGAGGCTGTTGCATTGCAGCATTGCTCAGTGTGCAATAATGTTCTCTCTGGATACCTGAAAATCACAACTTCCAAACAGGCCAGTCATGAGAGCCTTGGCACATTCTGTGCAGCCATCCTTGCTCAGGAGCTTTTTAGCCTGAATCTCTGTCTCGCCAGTGCTTCATGTTTGCGAGCATTGAATTCCTGTTCAGGTCTGTAATGTTTTTAAATTTGAAACTTTGCTGAGAGAAAATTTTGTTTTGGCACTCAGCATCAGGTAAACTTAAAATATCACTGCAAAGCACGTGTGTAGTTGGGAAAAGTTACTAAAACGTAGCTTAATCCGTTTTGTCTTTTTGTGCACTTAGGGCAATTTTTAGCCAGTTTGTTTTCTGGATCTGAGTGTCTGTGCCTCTGAAAATATCTTTATAAAGATCAGCAAATGAAAAGGAAATGTCTGAAAATAGTTTTAATGGAAGTTAAGAAAACACATCAGTGCAATTATATGAACTTTTATTTTTTATCTATTGCCGTTTATAAATGTCTGCAGCTAGATTATGCTTAAAGTGAGGCAGAGTTTGCACCAAGATTAGAAGTATGTTGGAACAGAGCTATTAAAAAAACCTCTAGATTCCCCAAACTATTACAATATTCATATAAATTAGTGCTATGTGGGCTAAAAGTCATATTTAGGCATTGTTCTTCTCTCTCAGCCCGGCCTAGTTTTGTAATTCACCCACAAAATACTGAAGTACTAGTTGGAGAGAGTGTTACCTTGGAGTGCAGCGCAGCCGGGCACCCTCAGCCACGAATTACCTGGACCAAAGGCGACAGAACCCCTTTACCCAGTGACCCTCGCATCACAATAACTCCATCAGGAGGTCTTTACATACAAAATGTGAAGCAGGAGGACAGTGGCGAGTATACCTGTTTTGCAACTAACAGCATAGATAATATCCATGCGACCGCATACATCATAGTCCAAGGTGAGTAATGTTAAACTCATGGTGAGTAACATTAAACTAGTAGTGACAAGCTGGAAAACACATTAGGAGGAGTATATATTACTTCAATTTTTGTTGTTTTGTCTTTTTTTCTGAATTGTCAGAGCCGAACTAAAATCGTAAGAGGTTTTTCTTTTAATTACACTATTCTAGTATAGTCCATAGGAAAATTGCTATACCTTTCGCTCAGAATATACATTACATACAAATTTTCTGAAACTTAATTTTCATTGATGGTTCTCAGAAGTTAATCAATGGTGTTTTGAAATGTGTATTTCTTATTATATATTTAGTTTGCTTGTAGGAGTAAACATAAAATGTCCAGTTTGTGGAGGACTGTATGTTTTCTGTAACAGGTAGCAATCTTAGAATTTGTGCTTGCAGTACTAGAAATGGAGCTTCAAGTGCAGATCTGCGCTTCCTTTGTTTTGTAAACACTTGAGTGAATGTGGGTGCATTTTCTGAGTTTCTCAGATACTATCACTCTGCCAGCTGAGGCACTAGCATAGCTTTTCTGCAAAACAAAAATCAAAGTACTGTAACGTACTGTGATCCTAATGATTTTGGTATTGTATGTCAGTAGGATGAATATGAAGATTTCTGAGAACAATGTATCAAAAAGCTTCCTATATAGATGGAGACTATTTTTTTGCAAATGTTTTAATGCTGAAACTTTTGTTTGCAACACATTTTGAGTAAATTTTAAATTTAAGTTTGTTTCTGTCCTCATATTAAGATCTCTAGTTGGCAAACAGTTTAGGTTGCAAATGCTTTGTTAATGAGTTCAGTTTTTAAAGCTATACACAGCAACTTGTACATGTGATTTGTTCATTTATCATTCACCAATGGATGACTGTGTTTTGAGAGCTGAACAAATTTCTTCTCACACTGATAATGCCGTGATGTTACTGCAGAAACTGGCCCACGCTCCACTCGCTGCAGCTCAGGATGGTTTTGACTGCATTGCATTTTCTCCACAATTTAGCTGAAGATTTTTTGAGAGAAAGAGAAGGTATTTTTAATCCAGGGAACACTCTGTGTTTGGTTCTACAAATCTTACTGTATCTCTTAGTTTGGATCTATAGCAATGGATCCCAGAGGCCTTCACTGACACCAGGGTCAGCTTGAGAAGGAAATGTTCCTGTTGCACAAGCGGCTGCCCTAAATCTCTGCCCTATAGCAGTAACAATATGAGAGAGTCCCACTAGCATCTCTTTTCCCACCAATGTGAGCTATTCAAGTCACACAGGAAACTGTACGTAATTTCAGACACTCATGCATTTTTCAGTTTGTTTTATTTTTAACCAGTTTGTTTTCTCTTCTGTAGCTCTACCTCAGTTTACTGTCACTCCTCAAGACAAAACAGTGATTGAGGGACAAACTGTTGACTTCCCTTGTGAAGCACAAGGCTATCCCCAGCCTGTTATTGCCTGGACTAAAGGAGGTAAGCGAGTTCCCTTTTTGCTTTTAAACTACTAGAGGAGTTTATCTCTCATTTTGCAGTCACTCATGCATTGAAAAGAATTGCATGTGTTTGTTTAGATGCTTCAGTCTCTGAAGGAAACGGGGCTCGTCTCTTTCTGCTTTAGCTAGAAAAGGTGAGGTGTGCCACAGAAGCTAGCTGCCTGAGCACTCTTCATTTTTCAGTAAAAAGGACTCACTAAAATATATGTTAGATTCCTAATAATAAATGTTAAAGAAATATGAGACAAATCACATATGGCAATACTAATCACTGCCAGTTTACAGCAGAACAAATGGAGGTGACTGTCATTAACTGGAGATATGAAAATAGGTGGGATGTGCTTTCTTTAGAAACAGAACAGTCCAACCTGTAACTGGTGTCAGTAGAACTGCATTTCTGTCACTTAATGTGCATTGACAGGAACACTGGGGTGCACTCTGCTGCCTGTTTTATCAGGTTGTGGCTGTAAAGGTGTTAAGCCAAACTGACCGGGAAGAAATGCTGTAGTGGATGTTTTATCAGTAAGTAAATAATCCAGTTGAATCAAATGAAATAGCTCTAGCAGGCAAGACAACTCTTAGGAAACGCTAATTTATGGTAGATAAAGCAGATTTTTAACAAACTCTTGATCATTTTGATGCTGATGATGCCCTTGCTTCTCTCTCTACCAAGATTGCTCCAATCAAATGTCCAGAAAGGAAGAATAGTGTACAGACTCTGATGTATCTTTTATTTCATTTTTATTATATTCGGTGTTTTCAGGGCTGTATGTATTTTTCTATGGATTCTCAAGATGGCCTAGGCAGATGAGATGAATTGCATTATTACACACACACAATAATATAAAATGAACAGTAATAGCTTATGATTGTGTGCATATGTGTGTTTTGTCTGCTTTACATGTTTATTTTCTGGGAAGTAAAGGTTCCAAAGTTTTTTTTTTAAAGACTAATTTTTTTCAATTTTTTATCAAATATAAAGTCTTCAGGATTTCCCTTTTTCTGACACAAAGGGACTTTGTTCTACACTGATATAAATAGCAAATACTCTTGCTCTGTGTTTCAGGAGGACAATTGTCTGTTGACAGAAGACACTTAGTTCTATCCTCTGGAACCTTAAGGATTTCCAGGGTTGCTCTTCATGACCAGGGACAGTATGAATGCCAAGCTGTCAACATTATTGGATCTCAACGAGTTGTTGTATACCTGACCGTACAGCCTAGAGGTATGTTCTTCCTGTACAACTGCTGGGAAAAAAAAAGAAAAAGAAAAAGAAAAGAGAAAAATTGCTCTTTTATGCTAAAAATAGACAGTACTGTGTTTGATTTCTTTTTTCTCTGAAATCTAAGATTGAGAATTAATTATTTTTGATGGCACAAAATGTTCATATGAAGTGTTTATTTTTGTTAAGAATGGAAAAAAGCTTTTGAAACAGCTGGAATAGCGCTTGGGTTTTTCTTCAGGACTTTTGCTGCATTTTACAATGATTCTAAGTTGCTGGTTTTGAATTATAAGCTATTTTATTAGTTTTTATACGCTGAGCATGTGGGACAGTGTGTCCTGATAGACTTTGTTCAAAATCACTTGGAGACTACATAAAATTACAACTAAACATGGCCTTTTTTGATAAAAGCTTGTTAGAATGAAGCTATAACTTTTCTTGTTTCGAAAACTTACTGTTCAGGGTATTGCTGACATTTCACATTTCTGATCGTTATTTCTGAGTATATCTATTTTTAGATTCCAGGTGGTTTTTGATAAATAACATGTATAGATACTTATCAGTATTTCTGCAGAGCATCATTCTGTTAGAACAGTCTGTCTTCTGTGAAGGAGGTTTATCTGATTTATTCTTTTGTAAAGAATGGAGGTTTGCTTGGTGGGTGACTATTCCTATGCTTGGGAAAGTATTTTAGTTTGTGAAGAAACTAGTTTCTTGTAAGACTCTGTGCTGTTAACTAAATAATAATACTAACATAATGTTTTGATGTCCAGAAACAGAACACTTTATTTTACAACAGCAGAATGACCTTCACAATGAAAAGTCATTCCTTATACTTAAAATAAGATGACACAGAAAAAAAAAAGCTCCATTTTTCTTATGCTTTTCTTCAAGTAAATTCTAAGTAAGCTACCTCTAGGATTAATTAGAATCATATTGATATTTATAATTTAGTCAAGTACTTTGGTGTTTAACTAAATTCAAGGAGATTAAACATTTAATTAAAATAATTTCTTGTTAATGACCTCATCTTAAACATTATTTTAGTGAAAGGGGCTCAAATATCTTCCTGAGCTTAGATGTTTGTCAGAAAAAAATTCCATTCACTTTTCTTAGTTAAGAGTAGTACTGGGAGATTGATTTGTCGAAATCAAGATTTTTTTTTTTTCACCTACATAAAATTTTCGACTAAAATTCTGTAAAACAAATCTCAGCTTTAAAAAGTTTAATAGCCTTCCAGCTGTGTTAAACCTCACTGAACTTGAGTACAGTTTAATAAAATTATTTTTGTGTGACTCAGGTTGCAAAATCCAGTCACCAAAAATGGTAAATACAAGACTGAAGGCTGCATATGCAGCCTGAAATTGGAGCTCTCCATACATTCACTGCAATGCTATTTTCAATTGTGCAAGAAGAGAAAACTTTTTCCTCTAGGCTTCTGACAAAAGGACTGTTCATCTGAGGAATGTCTAGCCAGTGTGGCTGAATCTGTATTGATGAACACAGATTAATGGTCCAGATCTGTATGCTGGCATGATGTGGCTTCCATCCACAGAACCAGACTCTCTTACCTCCCAGTGCTGGATGCCTGAATGTCTAGTCAGTGTGGCTAAATCTGTATTGATTAATGGTCCAGATCTGTATGCTGGCATGATGTGGCTCACATCCACAGAACCAGACTCTCTTACCTCCCAGTGCTGGATGCCTGCCTCTCAATGCCTTACTTGAAATAGTTTCTGGTCCTTAATAGCTATTTACATACAATTTAACACCAGAGCCAGATTTGGTTGGTAGTATAAATGTATGCTCTGTGGCCAAATACTCCTCTGTAAAAGCACAGTCCCCTCTCGCTCCCCCCAAAATACTGATATGATACAGCAGAAGTACAGTTCTTAATGTCTTCATAATCTTGTCTGTGCTTCTTGTGATGGTAACTGAATGCTGGGCGTCAATCTGGATTTGAAGAACATTAGGATTAAAAATGCATTTATTTTCTTCACACAGGGTTTTCGTAAGTGTGTACCCTGTGTTCCTAAAACTGAAGGTGATTTCTTGATGTTTTAAGTTCTAGGGCTCATTAGTGTCAGGGGGGTAGGAGCTCTGTGAAGGCTTAGCACCTCAGCAAGTCAGGCTGGGGGAATCACAGCTGAATGAGTTGTGGAAAATTTTGCTTTTATCATCTAAGAAAACTCTGGTGTTGCTATTTAAAAAATTAAAACTTAAAAAATTGTCAGAAATTGATGAAATATTCATTCTGGTGACTTTGTTCAGATTTAGCTATTCACAGAAATGTTTTTTGGAGCTTTTAGTTTGTGAAATTTAATTTTTTTTTTGGCAACCACTAGCCTCTTTTGTTAGGAGTTAAGACTGCTTAAAAATCAGCCTGAAGCAGACATCAGGAATAAGGAATTTTATCTGTAAAACAAACTTATATGTAACTAAAAACTTGCAGACAGAACAGGGTTACAGATTAAGAAGTGATGGGTAGCTGAAAAAAAAAGTAGTGACCTCTTTTTAGATCATCTTTTGCACAAGCTGTGTTTCATTCCTTGTCAATGTATCATTTTTCTTTAGTGACTCCTGTGTTTGCCAGCGTTCCCAGTGACATGACAGTGGAGGTTGGCACGAACGTGCAGATCCCGTGCAGTGCTCAAGGAGAGCCAGAGCCAGTGATTACATGGAACAAGGTGGTAGATATTGTTTGTTTGTTGCAGAAAGGCAGCAGCCTTTCCATCTCTTCATAATTAGCTATTTAAAATGCACATTGTCAAATTATTGCTTGCTCAGGTGTCTGAAAACATTACCCAAGTTTGATCAGCAAATCTTTCATACAGAGCTTGTATATAGAATCATAGAAGCACAGAATCATAGAATCATAGAATCATTAAGGTTGGAAAAGACCTCAAGGATCATCAAGTCCAACCTAACACCACCTAACTCACTAAACCATGTCCCTAAGCAATATAGATACCAAACTTGAATTTTTTATATATATAAAATATATATAGTAATACAAATCATCATACACACCACCTAAAATTCATAATTTACAGTTCTGTGCAAGTATCCTATTGATATTCACACTTTCAATGATATTATAGATATAGAGCAATAAAAAATAATGTTTTCCTGAGCTCATTGACACTTCAACCAGGACATCTTTTGGTAACTCTTTGGTAACCTCTCTGTGGCTTTGATTTCCATTGGTGCGATAATTGTTATATCAAACTCTTAGGTAGGGTTATTAGAAGAATTACTGGCAAATTAATGGGTTGCTAGTACTGATCTTCAATTTTCGTGATTATCTTCTCTTCAACTAGTGAGCATTAGAATATCTGCTTTAATATAACTTAAATAGCTCCTAAATGCATAGCACATGAAGAACTTATACAGCTCTTGACATCTTTTTTAGTGGGTTAATTTTGAGTAAAATCAAATATATATGTTCTCAAGAGATGCTACCTTATTTTTGGGTGTTAAATTTTATGTAGTGAGGACCTATAACTATTAACACACTTTGATTTATGATAATGAGTACTTTTAAAAATAAATAAATACACTGTACAATTTAGAAATACATACAAGTCCTCCAGCCAACATAAGTGTGTGAGTTTTTAATATAAGTTCATGTAAATCTATTTTACTATTATTTTGGCATACAAAATAGAAATACAACACAAAATATAAAAATAAAAGAGAAAAAGAAGACAAAAATTCAGGTTTGAAAACCGGTGTTTAGAACAACTAAATATTGTGCTTTGCTGCAGGATGGAGTACAGGTAACTGAGAGTGGAAAATTTCATGTTAGCCCAGAGGGATTTCTTACCATTCGCGATGTTGGAACAGCTGATGAAGGTCGATATGAATGTGTTGCCCGGAATACCATAGGATACTCCTCTGTTAGTATGGTGCTTAGTGTTAACGGTAAGGTATATGAACCAGAGGTTTGAGTTAGATTAGTTTTATTCTAATTGCTTAATATGTAAGGTGGGAAAAAGTAAATAAAATGTTAAATTCTTTCTTTTATTCAGATTTTTCTTTTCATCCCATAATCCTCTCTTTTTTTTTTTTTTCTTCATTTAGTTCAGGCAAGTAACTGCACAGATGTGAAATTAGCAAACTACAAAGCTTGGTGTTAGCTGATCTGCAGCATTTAATTGTCGTGTGGTTATTTTTCTTGTAAACTATAGCATCAGTAAACCTTAAATTTAGTGAAACTACCCTTGATTAACCTGCATTCAGTCTGGAACTGTAAATGACGTTTCTCTTTAAAATTAGTGGGATATCAGATATTGTTTCTCTATGGTTGCCATAAAAATGATGCTGTCGGAGAAGCAAGGAGGACAAGTGGACAGATTATAAGTACTGGTTACCTGCTATCTGGATAGCATTAATAATGGCATAGCCAGAAATGCCTAAAAATTTGCATGTTAACATTTCTTTTATACAAAGTTAATGTTTTATGAATGTTCCTAATGCATAAAAATATTTTCTTAACATTGAGACAGTGTAAAGGCAAGTGTATAAAAAGTAGGTTGGGCAAGTTTTGCTGGCCATGTTCAATAATATTTTAAAGATGCTTTTCTTTTGCCATTTTCTTCTGTCCTTTTCTAAAGTCTCTGGATTAAGTATAAGGCTTAAAAAAATTGCCATTTTTCTACACCCTACCCCCCGCCAAAAAAAAAATATTGTGTGAAAGGGTTGCAGGGAGCTTTCACTTTTAATATTTATCAGTCTAAACTAAAAACTACTGGCAGCAAATAGTCTAAACAAAAATAAAGGACAGTGTAGTTAACATCTGACCAAGGTTTATGGTTCAGCCCACGTGTACCATTAATCAGAAAGATACCTCTGTAAAACAGATATCTAAAGTACACACCGAGGTTACATCTATCACAGACAGCACGAGGGAAGGTAACCAGCCACCAGATTTCTGCAATCTGCAGTGTTGCAGTGTTAAGATGGTTCATGGCACACAAGCACTCTGTGAAACAACTAAAATGAGGGTAGCAAACATGTAAATGATATTTCTCCTTAAAATAAGTAGCTTATCTGATAATATTTCTGTATGATTGCCATGAAAAATGAAGCTGTCAAGCAAGGAGGACAGTTGGTAATTGGGACGGATCAGGGGCTATTGCTGTTAAGCACTGTGGAAAGGGTCGCCCCGTCTTGGATGCTGGGAGTATGTTGTCAGCAGCCCAAGGCAGCTGGCTTCAGGGCAGGGAAAGGGGCTTTGGCTACAACTACAGAGAGCCAGGGACTGTTTTATTTGACAGGATAGATGGTTAGTTTGATTACCCAGGTCTAGACTCTGAAACTCATATAGACACAGCCTAAGCTGCCAGTTATGAAGAAATAATGAAATATTGCCTAAGAAAGAAAAAAAAAATCATGAAAAGCTTGCAAACAATGTTTTTTATGTCAGCTGACTTTGTACATCTGCTGATTTTATTCCAGTGTATTTGCTTTGGACTTTTTCCCTACTTTACCCTTCTTCCTCTGTGACTTTTCCAATCTAAACACACTCTGGAAATTGTTAGCTGTTGCCCCTGGATCTGGTAGTTCTTGGTTTAGACTGAAAGGAAGGTTATTAGCCTTAGATACATTGTACAAACATCCATCTGCAACTGAGTGCTGTATAAAAAGGCAGATGAATGGGCCTGTGCATTAGTGAGTTTCCAGTATTATGCAGAGCCGTTAAATAGCTTTTAAGCATGTGATTTTTAATGTAGTATTAAAAAGTTAGATAATTTTAAAGTAGAAAACAAAGTAGTGATCAAAATAAATAGAATATTTATAGGCCTTTAAAATTAATGTGTGTTGCTTACTACATTAAGCTCAAAGAGAGGAGCAATGTTAATTTACTGTAGCTAGTTAGGAATATATAAAATTCTGCAGGGTTTCTTTTTCTCTGTGTGTGTTTTATTATTTTTTTCTGTGAAATCTCTTTGAATTTATGTGATAAATCTGTTCTAAAAGGCAAATTAAGTCTGTCAGTATTTTCCACTTGTAACACATTCCTATAAACCCTTTAAATTCTTACACTGAATTCAGTACTAATTGAAATCAAAGGGAATACTTGCACTGATTGCAGTGGTTATAGGTCAGGCTTTTGATATTAACACCTGGAAGCTGATATTACACCACACCAGAAAAATTATTAACAATAATTAATTTTTGCTTTGGTCGTTTTTATTTGAAATTGTAGGACTAATTAATGTACAGTTAAATGCTGTATGCATTTATCTTCACTTTATTTTGTTTTAGAATTATAAGCAAGCTGACTTTTAAACTTAGATTAACTTCTGTTTTAAGTATATTTTACTCTACTGCAATATGCTTTGATAGAATTCCAAAATAGTTAAGAATTTTATACTTGGACAAACTACTGCTTAAAGAACAGGGGTTTACTTTGTACAACTGAAATGATGTCGTGTCTAGACTCCCTTTTATAGAAGTATCTTTTTTGTGTGTGGCCATTTTTGCAATAACATGTGAATTTCTCTTTCTGTAGTCCCTAATGTCAGCCGAAATGGAGATCCTTTTGTACAAACATCAATTGTGGAAGCAATTGCAACTGTTGACAGAGCAATAAATTCAACACGTACACATCTGTTTGACAGGTATCTCCTTTTTTTTTTTTTTTTTTTTACATTGAGAAATCAAAATTAATTTTTTTATATACTATAAATAATGGAACATTTATTAAGCAAGAAGCCATTTTATTACTTAAATTACATTGTTAATATTTGGTTAGTTCTGGGAATACTATCAGTTCAACATGTAAGTATTCCTATTATTTAAACACTCCTGTTGAGATCTCTATTCACTGCAGCAGTTTTTATGCTGAGATATGTGTATTAGAAGGCTACTAAATGTTTAATTGCTATTAAAGATTGAATGTTTTATGATTGTATTAAATATATTTTTTTGTTTGCCTTCCATTTTGAGATGAGTAACCAAGGTATGTACTAATCGTGTTGCTGAACATTTACATTTTTGTAGTATTGTTATTTTGTAACTCCTGTGTACACTTACTATTTTTTTCAAATTATCTATCAGTCGTCCTCGTTCTCCAAATGATTTGCTAGCCTTATTTCGGTACCCAAGGGATCCATACACTGTTGAGCAAGCAAGAGCTGGGGAAATATTTGAAAGGACACTACAGCTTATTCAAGAGCATGTACGAGATGGTCTAATGGTTGACCTGAATGGAACAAGTCAGTACTCTTTCCTTTTTTTTTTTCTGTGTTGAAATGTATTTGCCTTCTTAGGTCATTATACTTCAAGAGACATTTATTTTACAAATCTGGGTCCCAATTGCAGAACCATTACATTTAAATCAGTGGAGTATTTGACTTTGTGAAACTTTACCAAATATATGTGTTTGCCCAATTCAGTCCTTGATTTGCACATTGCTACATTATGGTGTAATTCTCTTTGTCTGAGCTCTCTGGGTAGTGTTTTTATTTTTCCTCACATTGACATATAAGGGAAAAAACTCATGTTCAGATTCTTCTACTGGTCAAATTTGGTATAACAGAGGTGCAGAATTCATCCTGTTTGTTAACTCCCAGTGTGTTAATTCATTAGGACCATTGTTTCATGGAAGAACAGATTTTTCTATTATGTATTAAAAATAATCAGTTTTTTGTTCATGTTTCTTTAAGTAAAACCATTTAGTGTTGGTGTGCCTTGGCAAGGAGAAAAGATGATATAACAAGAAGAATTTGTGTACTTTACAAACCAAGGTTTCTACATGAACCACAGTAGTATTCAAAGAATTACTTGCCACTCATTCTTTAAGTGCATATCAAACTAAGCTAATTGTTTCCTTTAACACTGATCTGATGTAATGAGAAATACAGTTTTTGCTGTTTTTTATAAATAGCAGAAAAATGTGAGGATTAATATTTCTACCTTTTAGTTATTGAAGTCCAAGTTCAAATTCATGAAGTCCAGCTGGAGCATATACAACTAATGTGCGTAGATCTGTGTGTGGATAGGCTTGAGGCATGGGACTGAGGCATTTGGAAATTATGATAGAGTTTTAGGAGAGCTTTTGAGACTTGAGACATAGCCAAAAGCTACACTGAAAATCTAAAGGAAATATTTTTACTTATTATATTCTTTTTGATGTTTCTAATTGGGTATTCATTGTAACTTCTGAAAACTTTAACTCTGATCGTGAACTCGGAAAGTATTTATAAGACCAAAGACTGCAAGCTTTGTGGAGTACTGTAACATTTGCTAGTAAAAGAAGCTTGCTACTCATTATTAGAGCTGAGTAAATAATTTGTGATGAATAGTTTACCACAAAAACTTCTTCAAACTTCTTTGAAGGTTTGTTTTTCATAAGAGCAACCCAATTTAATTTGGTTCTCTGATTAGATGCATATTCAAGCATATTGTATATAATACTAGGAACATATGAAGTCTGATTTGTAACAGTGAAATTCAGTCACCTAAAGTTTACCAAAAATTTGCATTGAAGCATACAAACACAAATTAAAGAACACAAAATCAGGCACCTTTCTGTGATGCTGGAAATTCTGTTCACAACCAAAGCTTGCTTCTCAGCCCTACAAAATTCACAGAAATCTGGCTTTTAGGGAAACTTGAATAGTAAAATAAATCTGTTTTCATTTAAATAGCCTAATGCTCATATTTTAATACTCATATTTGTCCTTATTTGGTTTTATTTCAAAATACAGAGTCCAATGAAAGGTGTTATTTAGTACTTTTGCATTGGGAACAGTCGAGAAACTTGACAGTTTCCCATTCAGAGACTTTTTTTAATGTAAAACCTTGGAATATCCCAAGGAAAGACTATGGAGCCAAATTGTCCTTTGCAGTGCCAGACTGTATAACAAGGGGAATGGCCACAAATTGCTGCTTGGGAGGTTCAGATTGGATGTTAGGAAACACTTTCTCACCAGGAGGCCAGTGCAGCACTGGAACAACTTATCCAGAAAGGATGAGGACACAGTCTTTGGAGGTTTTCAGGGCTGCTAGACAGGGATACAGCCGAGCTGATCCAGTGCTGAGACAGCCTTGCTTCAAGCAGGAGCTTGGTCTGGGTAAGAGGTCCCTTCTAATCAATATTTCTATGACTCTATGAAACATCTTCCTTGCAGTTTGGAAAAATATGGCTAATATTATGTGAATTGAGCTAGGTAAATTCTAAGCCCTGGAAATGCTCAGCACCCAGCCTTTTAGAAAGGAGAACCAGAGTTAGTGCTTACAGTACAAGGGGTAATGAAGAGTCTGAGATTGGTGTTTATGGCAGACTCCACTCTGCTCAGAAAGCCATCAAATCTAATCCATAGATGAGACATTGCCTGCAACTTGAACTTCTGAACGGAGAAGCTGAACCTTTTATTTTAAATTGGTAATGGAGGTCATTCTACCCAAAGCATTCATACTCGAGTTTTGCTTACAACTTGATCTCAGAAATGTGCGCAGCAACCAGGATAACCACAGCAGACAGATGTTTATGTAAAGACTGCATGAGTAATGATCATAAGGAAAGAATTCCATGATGAATGAAGATCATTTAAAAAGGAGTGTTATTATAGTGTAGTTTTAGAATTAAGCTGCCCCAGTAGCCAGCATATTATATGTTATCAATAATATCCTCAAAGAGGGTATTTTGCTGTACTACCCAGTGGCACTTACAGGTTTTGCTCTGTGGTTTATTTTTCTTTTTCCTAGTCTGGAATATTCCATAAAATAATTTATGTATGTCTTCAAGAACTGGATAGTTTTGCCTAATGTAAGCACTAGGTCTCTACTATCTTTGCTTTGACTTGTAAACCACTTGAGTACAGGTAGCCTGAGGCTGAGAAAACATAGATCCCCTGACTGAGCCCAGGTCCTGTCCCAGCTGAGCAGCTGTGAGCAGTCCTGTCCCTTTCAAGGAAAAGACAAAGAGGGGCTTTAGGGGGTTTGTTTGAAATAGCCCTGCATTGTAGCAATAGGCAGAGAGCAGCAGTGTGTCTAGCACACGTTCATGTGTTGAATGTAGATGAAGGTCAGTGTCTTTGCAGGCATTCTGGGACTGAGCTCAGGACTAAAAGGAACATTTCCCAACTGTGTGCAATTAGCCTGCACCGACCCCTTGCAAAACTGCATTCGGTTCACATTCTTGAGTGATGACCATCATGGTGGAAATGCCGTGAGCCTGTGGGAACACGGTGCCAATGTATGCTCACTCATGTCCTTTTTTCCTTCTGCCTTTATTCTTCTTGCTCGGTTTTACTCATGACTGCAAGCTTTACAGATCAAGAACCATGGTGGTGTGTGATGGTTCCTAGTTAACTGTGTCTACACTGACAAATATTCTGCCTCCTGGGCTCTCTCCTGGATCCTGGAACCTTTCTCATCCATACTCTGTATCCATTAATCACTCAAGGTGTGCCTGGGCTTTGGTGTGAGTTGTGGTGTGGTCTTGAGCCGTTGAGGATTCTTTTCAAATTAAGCCAAAAAATGTGGTCCAAGGCCACATTCCTTCCAGGAGAACAAAGTAAAGCTTTTCTGAAGGAAACCTGCTCCTCCTGCACAATGGATACCGTAGGGATGTCTTTCTCAGCATCAAAAATTTCACTGTACAGACACATTTCTGTTGGTCTAAGTAAGTTGGTAATGTAGATATAGCCCAAATGAATTACTTTTTTTCCTGAAATGAAGCCCAAATATTTTTAAGAAAAAAAATCACTTTTAGAATAACTCCTAATAGGCAGCATAGGCAAGGCACAGCCTGACTGTTCTGCTATGTGCAGTCACCCGGCACTGTACTAGGAGGCCTTATGGTCTTCAGTCATTCCACATGCCATCATACCACAGCAGAGATCATGCAACACATAGCCTTAGTTTGAAGTTATAAAAACAGAATTCTAATGAGTTACAGTATATATTTTGTATATATTATTTTTCTATGGATTGAGAAAAAAATGCAGGAATGTGATACATATGTTGTAGTCCCAGAGGTGAATGGTGTGGCTTGCAGAGAAAACCTATCCCAAGTGTTACGCACACACCAGTTTTCTTTAGAAACTAGTCCTGGGTAATGTGAATGTGAGGTACACCACTTCTCCAAGAGGTCACTGTTCTGTTTACCTATGTTGCCTGCAATTATTTTCTTTTGTGGCTTTTCTTGAATTTTTTTTCTCAAAATTGTGCAACTGTTTCTGTAATAAAGCAAAATAAAATAGTAGTGTTCAGTGAATTATCAAGTCTCAAAAGGTAAAGTCTTGAAATCCACTTAATTGTTACTGACAGTTTTTTAAATGCTTTTACCGACATGGGGAAGACTTCCCATTTTCCTCAGTATGAGGCTTTTGTTTCTGAAAATATCTCTGCTTTAACTGACCGTATAAGAAATAAGTTCCATTTGTAAACATTTTGTAAAAGGTGTACTTGAACTGGCATTTCACGAAGTTCCCTCCTGACCTAATAGTGGTTGTTGCTTAAATGACCTGATGCTCTAATATACATGGGATTATTATTCTTTTTAAACAACAGGGATATTTAATCTGGTGGAAAATGCAACATAAAAAAATAACATTTCAAATAAATTAATGGTCTGTGGGGAACGTGAGTCTGTCAAGTCTTTGATTTTCTCTCTGTCTCTCTTCTGATTTCAGGTTATCACTATAATGATCTTGTATCCCCACAGTACTTGAATCTGATAGCTAACCTCTCAGGCTGTACAGCCCATCGACGAGTGAACAACTGCTCAGACATGTGCTTCCACCAGAAGTACAGGACACACGATGGAACATGCAACAACCTTCAGCATCCCATGTGGGGTGCTTCTCTGACAGCATTTGAGCGTCTGTTAAAGTCAGTCTACGAGAATGGATTTAATTTGCCTCGGGGAATTGAACCCAGGAGGCTCTCTAATGGCTACGCCCTCCCAATGCCTCGCTTGGTTTCAACTACTCTGATCGGAACGGAAACAATAACTCCTGATGACCAGTACACTCACATGCTCATGCAGTGGGGTCAGTTTCTTGACCATGACCTTGACCTCACTGTAGCTGCCCTAAGTGAGGCCAGGTTTTCAGATGGTCAGCATTGCAGTTCAGTTTGTACAAATGATCCTCCCTGCTTTTCGATCATGATACCACCAAATGATCCTAGAGTTCGAAATGGTGCACGCTGCATGTTTTTTGTACGCTCCAGTCCGGTTTGTGGAAGCGGCATGACATCTCTCCTGATGAATTCTGTGTACCCACGAGAACAGATCAACCAGCTGACTTCATACATTGATGCGTCCAATGTGTATGGCAGTTCAGACCATGAAGCACTGGAAATCAGAGACTTGGCGAGTCAAAGGGGTCTTCTGAGACAGGGCATTGTACAGAGATCTGGCAAGCCCCTTCTTCCGTTCGCTACTGGCCCACCAACAGAATGTATGAGAGATGAAAATGAGAGTCCAATTCCCTGCTTTTTAGCTGGTGATCAGCGTTCTAATGAACAGCTGGGTCTTACCAGCATCCACACATTGTGGTTTAGAGAACACAACAGAATTGCCACAGAGCTACTGAAACTCAATCCACACTGGGATGGTGACACAATCTATCACGAAACACGCAAAATTGTTGGTGCAGAAATGCAACACATAACATTTAGCCATTGGCTACCTAAGATCTTTGGAGAGGTAGGCATGAAGATGCTTGGCGAATATAAGGGTTATGATCCCAGTGTTAATTCTGGCATAACTAATGAGTTTGCAACTGCCGCTTTTAGGTTTGGTCACACACTCATTAATCCTTTTCTGTATCGACTGGATGAAAACTTTGAACCTATTCCACAAGGCCATCTACCTCTTCATAAGGCATTCTTCTCTCCATTTCGGATTGTAAATGAAGGAGGCATTGATCCACTTCTAAGGGGATTGTTTGGTGTTGCTGGTAAGATGCGTGTCCCATCACAATTACTCAATACAGAATTAACAGAAAGACTCTTCTCCATGGCACGTACTGTGGCTTTAGATCTGGCAGCTATGAATATTCAGAGAGGCAGAGATCATGGAATTCCTCCCTACCATGATTTTAGAGTTTACTGTAATCTTTCTTCAGCTCAGACTTTTGAAGATCTGAAAAATGAAATTAAGAATCCTGAAATCAGGGAGAAACTTAGCAGGTGAGCCTGAGGTGAAGAAAAACAATCAATTATCTGAATGTGCATGTGAAATTAGTAGCTAAATGTCTTATCTAGAAGAAAATATTTGTTAGGAAAGGGGTAAAGGGATTTTTTAGTAACTTATATCCATACCAGGAAGTAGATCCGGAAAATTCCCACATGCAGATAATTTCTCCACTTCTACATCTCTGTGAACAATAAGAAGTTTATATATACTGTATTTGTTCATTAAAGTATTAATTTGAAACATATGGTTTTATAAGTGTTGTTAAACATTAATGTTATTTGAGTGTAAGGTCATATTTAATCCCAGTCTTGTGCAAGAACTTACATGTTCAGTTCCAACCGTTCTGTACACTAAACCAAACAGGAATATCATTCACTGTATTTTCACTGGACATCCTTCACTACCAGTAATCTGTTCTTCTTTAGAGCATCAGTGATTGACAATAAGTCTTTGGCTACCTACCACCCCTAGCTTATCTGCACTAAATCAGACAGAGAATTAATCTCAGCTATGTTAAAAGAAAAAGTGTACAGAGGGGCAGGAAAGAGAAATTGAAAAAGAAACTGTTCTAAAAAATCAGAAGAAAGCTACTAGGAGAAAACAAGTTGTGGGGGTAGACTTGCAGACCCCCATGATGTTACTTGCATATACAATTTACCTTGCAGGATTTCTTGCATATACACCCACAGTTTGTTCACAATAGATGTAGCACTATCACTGTCATTTTTACTGTGAGTTGTTCATATCTCTTGCCCTCAGTTTTACCACCTACTGGTTATTTTGTAAATATAAAATATTTTATATTTGTCTTTTTCTATTTATAGGTTGTATGGTTCCCCCCTGAACATAGACCTATTTCCTGCTCTAATGGTAGAAGACTTAGTTCCAGGGAGCCGACTGGGGCCAACTTTGATGTGTCTGTTAAGCACACAGTTTAGGCGTATTCGGGATGGAGACAGGTAAATTGAAATACCATGGAAACCAAGAGTAATTTTAAATCGAGGATGCTTAATAACAGTTGCGAAGTCTTGTTTCCAAACCAAACTGTGTTTTGTTTTCATTTATGATTTTAGTATATAATTGAAAAGATGAAGAATACAGGTTTAAAAGATTATTAGAAGCTATGATTAATTTATTTTTTGAAGTCTGTTACTTTTTATGGTGAATATTTCATACTGACCTCCAAAGAGCACCACAGCCAACATATGCTGAGTTTCATTTTACCAGTATTTCAGGTCACTTACCTTTCTGAAAAGTGGATGTCACTCTTGTCCTTTCATTGGTATTTAATTATTTTATTGGCAAAGGGTTTGTGGTGGTTGAGACACTTTCACCATCTCCCTTACTTAAGAATAGGTTGGAAAAGTATCACTCTGTGTATACAACCGCTATACATGTTTCAGTACATGCAGTCTGTTAACCAAAAGAGTGTTAAAAGCAGACAGGTTATCCCAAATAACACAATTTGATAATTGTTCTTAAATTACTTTATGAGCACATCATGAGCAATTTCTTATTTTCAGTTTCTACAGTATACAAAATAAGAATATAATCATTACTATTGTTACAATAGCCAGATATCCTTTGCATACTTCAGCACACTCGGTCGGAATCTGAAAATCAGCATTTCCCTCATTTTAACATAATTTGTGACCTAGAATCCTAGGTTTTGCATGGCATGAAGGTAGAAAGACTTACGCTGATAAGTTGCAGCCTAGTGGAAAGGAAACAGAGGAACAATTAGGAAATTAGATTTGTTTCCATTTATTAATGTTTGCTTTATCTAGGTTACAAAATTCCTACTTAAGTTAGTATAAAGGCTTTTTTATTTCTGTAGTCAATAACACAAGCCTTTTTATATGCTTTTTTAAAAACAATGCTCTTACATAAAATCTGATTAAAAATTAAGCTGTGAAACATAAAACTCTCACGCTTAGAGGCAGAGGGAGTAAAAGGAGAAATATATGCAGTACAAGCTCCAGATTGCTGGTGACAAGTACCTGTTTGTGTCACAACAGGATAATGATACTGCTCTTTTTGTGTGTGTCTGTTCACGTTTTTCCAGCAAAAGCTCTTTTTTTTTTCTTTTTTTTTCTTTTTTTTTTCTTTTTTTTTTCTTTTCCTGAAACAAAATTTAGAAACTATAGGAAAACATTGAATATTTAGGAAATGGGATTCTGCTGTCCAAAGAATACAAATGTTTTGAAGCAAAATGCCAGCAAGTAGTAAAATATTATTAGACATAATGAAAGCAACTCTCACTTCTTTGAAAAGCCTTTACTATGGGCAGAGGATCAGAGCTGCCAGCACTGTGCAAAACAAATGTGTCTGTGCAGCGAAAAGGAATGATATTTGAAGGGAGCCTGACTTCATGTCAAGATGGAAATTTCAGAATCTGTTTTTCTGATCTGAGTACTTGGAAATTCATTGGCCGCTGTCCAATGCCTTATGAAAATGATGCAATAGCTAGGTAAAATGAAATTTGTTGACCATTCTTCTAAGCTTAGTATAAAATTGCTATTGTTTTTTCATAAAGTTTAAAGAGTCTCCTACTTATTTGTGGTTGAAATAATATCATAGTAGTGAAATAGGAAAAAAGTATCAATATAGAATTATAACTTTACAGTTTAGTGAGATGTAAACAATGTCAGAGTGAGCAATGTGTTAGAATAGTGTAAAATGTTTTCAAATCCTGGGCAGTAACTTAAAATGTTTTCTTTTACAAGGGCTGGCTTGCTTTTGACAGTAATGCACTATTTATATTTTCTATTTATAACAGGCTTTTAGACCTTTGTGTATGAAAAATAAATTATTCTAAACCACCATACTTCCTCCTTGAATATAATGAAATAACTGAGCATGTATTAATAAGTCCCTGAAGTAGTATAGTAATTAAAATAGCTTTACAGAAAAGAAATTCTTTAGTAAATTAAACAGTCTCATTATCTCTTATTATCTTGATAATAAACTAGGTATAGATTAACTATGCTTCTAATACACCGTAGAGTTCAGAACAGGATTTATGGAATAATTAATTTAATTCTGAATACAGTATTGCAATATCTCTGGAAAACTGCGTATTTTGTTTTTTCACTGGCAAACTTGTCTTTTCTGTGAGATTACAGGTTATGGTATGAGAATCCAGGTGTGTTCACGCCTGCTCAGCTCACTCAGATCAAGCAGACATCTCTTGCCAGAGTTTTGTGTGACAATGGTGACAACATAACCAGGGTACAACACGATGTCTTTAAGGTAGCTGAATTCCCACATGGATATAGTAGCTGTGAAGATATTCCTAAACTGGACCTCAGGATGTGGCAAGATTGCTGTGAAGGTCTGTATACAGGGGGATTTGGGTGTGATAATGTGTGCTTTGTTTAATGTCTGTTCATTTTATTTTAAGAAGATATTTTACTGTTGTTCAGTATTTATTAAGATTTTACAAACTCAAATCTGGACCACAACCCTTTTTAACTGAGCGATCATTCCATATTTCACGTTAAGTAGACACATTCTAAACATAGCATAGATTTAAGCATTGCATGGGGTAGAAAACTGTTTTCTTGTTTTCTTCCTTTTGTGGCCAAATATTCTTGTCCATTGCTATCTCCTTCAAAAGTTGGGACAGTGGGGTGATTTGGTTTTCTTCAGAAATAAACTTTTTTTCTCCAGAAACAAGGTTTACTTAACTGCATGAGGCACAGGAAGCTGAGAATCCCTTGGCAGCCTATATGTTGGCTTCTGTCTCACTTACAGATTTTCTGCGTGACCTCTCTTTAGCCATCTTCACATCAGACTTCACTGCCTGTAACATAGTTAGAATATCCCTTCCCAAGAGAATCTTCTGGATAACATAGATTTGCAGAATTATTTGCAGTAGCATCAACAACAAAACACTTCAGAGGACAATGACTTCTCTTTATTGACATCTCCTTGACAGTGTTATTACCATTTTCTTTTGACAAAACTCAAATGACATACCCAGGATGAAAAAGTATATTCAGGAATGTTGTGAACTTCTCTGTGGAACTCTGATTATCTAGAAATTGCTGTCAAACGAATTACTAACTGTAAAACACTTGCTCTTATTAGAGATGGTAATGGTACTATCAGTTGATGACTATTAGAATCTTACAATTTACCTAGTAAGAACCTAGCTTTCAAAACTAGTGTCTTGTAGATTTGCTGGTGAAAGGTGTCTGTATCCCAGTTCTTCATCTTTTCTACTGCTGATTCTCTTGAGTTTACTACTGCTGAGTAGACTATACAATATTCTGTCAAAAGATATGCATGAATAAAGAACCAGTGGATTGTATTTCTGAGAGAAGTCACACTCTTCCGCTGGTGTCCATTTAACGCTTTTGTTAAGATATGATGGTCTCCAATGGCAGACAGCCTTTTGGTGATATAGCTCAGAATTTAAGGCAATAGATAAAGGGTAAACTGATGAAGGATGTCTCTTCAACCTGCTACAGATACAGTAAATACTGAGGAAGAATTCTAATTAGTGTGATTTTGCCATGACAACAAATTCAGATATTAACAATGAAAAAAGTAGAGATTTACCATTCAAAGATATTGTACAATTTAGCTTTTAAACTGTCTGCTGTATTGTCTTGTCCAGTAAACAACTCTTTAAATAATACGTCACTGTCTAAGAAAACTCTTCCTTGGAAGACTTGATTCAAAATGTCAGTTATCTGTGTGAGACTAGGAGAAATAAATACTTTAGATTCCAATGAAATCTTGAACAGTTTTCTCCAGATACCAGAGTTTTTTTCAGTTATTAAAATTTTTTAATCAATGTTTACCAGGTTTGACACTCCCAAATAGCTGGTAATGGCTTATAAAACTCTAGATATGGTTGACACATTGTAATTCTAATGCAAAGTCCTCCAGAGTGTCTTCAAAATAAACCTGACGTATGCCAGAAGCATTGAGAGAAAATCAGTTATCACTCTTCAAATGCTTTACCATAAGCATTCTACCAGTTCAGGATAAGTTCACTTTGCCATGGTTCTTAAAGCTTGGCAGGCAGTTTCACAAATGCATTAATTGTTTTGATTTGGAAAAATTGTAAAGCTGTTCTGAGAAATTATGTGTTGTTTCTCTGAATGTTAGTTTATCACTGAGCCTTCTAGGGCAGATGTTATCTTTGGAAAGTCTTTAGAGTATTCAGCCATTCAGCAGCCTAGCTTGTATTTTCATTGAAGAACGTTACTACCAGAGATTACTACTGGATGCAGTACAGTTAGACAACTGACAAGCAAAAGAAAGGATAAATAACTAACGTTCTTTAAAAAAATGCCTATCTGTATCCCCTTCTTCTGACATCTTTTGAAGTTTGTGCAGAGGTTAATGAAGAAAAAACAAAGTAGGCATGGCTTGAACTGCTTTCTTACATGGATGAATGGGTGTGATGTTTTCTGTGGGAATCCAGGTTTAAGCAATTAATTTAAAAAATTCATTTCATTCTGTGGCACTAGGGACTCACCACTACTCTGAGGTAGGGGGGCATACACAGCATACATTCAGGAACAGCATTTACTTTAAGTTAAATACATTCTGGGTTATTGTTTCTTTGAATTTATTAATATTTATTATTTAAAAGAAAAAAATAAACCATTCTCCACATTTAAAATACTTTAGAATACAGAATACTGGTCATTGTACTTCATCTATGTTTAATAAGTGACCCATATGTTCAACTGTTTCAGCTTGGTTAAAAAACACATCTGTTTTTGTTATCCTTCCTGTTTTCTTCAAGTCAAAATACTTTTCCATATGAAGAAAGAAAAACTTCTTAGTTACAAAAAGCTACTTCTTAGGTTTCTTGAGTAAATCTAGTATTTATTTCTTATAAAGCAGAGCATTATTCTTTTTTTATCATAACAGTACCAGATTACCTTTAGATTTCCGTTAATGAATCATACAACAAAATTACTAGTTTATGGTGGGGAAAAAGAAGGGGTTCCACTGAGGTTCACAAGTTTTTCTTCTGGTTTCCTTCACTTCCTACCTTTCTTGTCTTGCCAGAGATGGTGAGGAATTACAGCAGGTTTACTGCAGCTCTTTATTTGAGCAAAGAGCATCCAAGCTTCAGATTTTCCAAACAAGAAATTTTTGGTGCTTTTTTTCATGCTCTTTAGTGCAAAAAAAAAAAATTATTTTTTCAAGTACTCAGTGTACACTTTAATAATTACTCTTGCTGACTTTGTGTCTCAGTTCTGAACCCAAAACACATAAATGATAAACCTCTCTTCTCCTTCCCTCATATTTAAGCATGCTGTTATCGTTATGCCAAATATTTTTGTGAGATGAATTCTGTAAAAAGAAGACTAGATATTAGGTGCATAGGCATGCTGGCTCAAATGGAAACATGTTTTTACTCCAAGTGTGTAAATTTGAAATATTCTTAGTTTTGAGTCTTTAAAAGTTTCACACTTTTTTTTTTTTTCTGTAAATCAAAATGAAAAATTACTTTAGCCTTTTGTTTTATGTCAAACAATGACCCAGGAGGAAGTGACTCAGACAAGATGCAAGTCATCCTCATAAGCATAAACTGATTTAGGAAGATTTTTTTTTTTTTTACTGGTTGTCAGTTAACAACCAATGTATCTCCTGCATCGGATACTGTTCTTTTTAGTTTAACTCAGGAAAACTGCCTTTTACAAATTATGATTAGGCATGTTTAAATCCCACTGAATTTTATTAGAAGAGTTAAGACACATTCTTCATCTGAGTGCATTTATACACGGTCTTCCCCGTGGGACAGACCTATATTTATGAATTTCTGCGTTTTAAGAACAGACCAACAATTATACCACCTGTTGCTTCTTTACTGACCACATCAACTCTTTGATTTAAGCATTGCTTCTAAGAAGACATCAACTATTTGTTTTAAAAATTGTGCTTTATTCCAAGTTAAAAATTGTCTGGCTTTTGCTTCTAGTATTGTACCATGTTATGCACTTCTCATTATACCCTTTCATCTTTAATGAAAATACTAAGCAACTTTGGGCTAAACATTAAATGCTGGGGAAGAATAGCATTTTAAAATGTTAACAGCAGTCTCAGTGTGAGACTGAAAGATTTTCTGTGACAATGGAAATTGTTTACCAAGAACTCTTCAAAATTCCAAAATGATGCAATTTGTGCCTGAACGAGTTTTCTCTTTACACAGATCTTGTAGTTTGCTTCTGTCATGTCATGTTTATTTTACTAATGCTAGAAGCATTAGCAGCAGGTCAAAGGAGGTGATTCTCCCCCTCTACTCTGCTCTTGTGAGACCCCACCCGGAGTACTGTGTTCAGATGTGGGGTCCCAACAGAAAAAAGACCTGGACCTGTTGGAGTGAGTCTGGAGGAGGGCCACGAAGATGGTCAGAGGGCTGGAGCACCTCTCATATCAGGGCAGGCTGAGAGAATTGGTGTTGTTCAGCCTGGAGAAGAGAAAGCTCAGAGGAGACCTAGTAGCAGCCTTCCAGTACCTAAAGGGGGCTACAGGAGAGATGGGGAGGCACTCTTTATCAGGGAGTGTAGTGATAGGACGAGGGGTAGTGGTTTTAAGCTGAAAGAGGGCAGATTTAGACTAGATATTAGGAAGACATTCTTTCCTATGAGCGTGATGAGACACTGGAACAGATTGCCCAGAGAAGCTGTGGATGCCCCATCCCTGGAGGTGTTCAAGGCCAGGCTGGATGAGGCTTTGAGCAACCTGGGCTAGTGGAAGGTGTCCCTGCCCATGGCAGTGGGGTTGGACCTCCATGCTCTTTAAGGTCCTTTCCAACCCAAACCATTCTATGATTCTATGATTTTTGCTTTCTGTATTCAAATATATCTTTTTACATTTAAATTTACTTTTAAAGACAGTGTCTATTAGCTTAATAACAATTCAGACTATGCCAGACTAAGTTCCAAGGTCTGTAATTTTAAGGATTACATCCTTTGAATAGAAGTACATTTAATATAGTCCAGCATTTCAGTATGATTACACACTTTTCTTAGAGAATCAGTATTTTTATTTATATTTCATCCAAACCAAGAATATTTTATCTTTTCCAAGTACCCATGATCATTAAAATACAGTTCTAATTCATAAACTTAAAATAAGGAGACTTAATCTGTGACATTGCTGTGTCTTTGCTACCAAGGGCCACATGCTGGTAGTTCCTATTCCCAGTAAAAAGCAACAAGGAAGCAGTAGGCTGTAATTCGCTGTGTTTAAACCCAAACTCCTGAATGAGTCCCCAGATCTAAGATCTCAGCCTGCTGAAGTCTCACTGGAGGCAGTAGAGAAAGAAATGCCTCTAGAGGACCATTCAGGCTGCAGTCT